AGCCCTGATCAAGCCCCGGAAGTGAAAGTGGAAACGCGACTGGCCCTAGCACGCACTAGCACGGCCCGGCCCTGGCCCGGCAGTGGAAACGCGGCTATTCATTAATTGATTTATGTCACTTGTTTAAGTATTTAAAAAAAAAATAAATAAAAAAAAAAATAACCCCGCTTAGTTCGTGTGGTAAGGTTCAGAGGAGGTGATGGAAGAAGGCACGGGGTCGGCGAATACTTGAGCTTGTGTGCTTTATTAGACAGAACAAATACTCTTTCCACAGCGTTTCAGCGCTTCACAATAAACTCAATAGAAGCAACAGAACAGACTCTTTCCCGCTGCTTCACAGCTTCTTGGACTCGAACGGTTCACTCTTTCCACAGCTTCCAGCTTCAGCTCCCGGTGTCTGCACACAAGCTCCAAACTCTCTCAAATGAAGCGTCCAACTGGGCCGCTTACATACTCTCCCAAAGCCAATCACTGAAATCACAGACAGGTGTTTATCATTTGCACTTGACCCGCTTACTTCCCGCTCGACTCCTCCCCCGCTCTCCCGCTGCAGACAGCGCTAAACCACGCCCCCCCCCATACCACAGTTCGCTTATGCCTCGGGCCGGCTCTGTATTGTACAATATAAATATTAAATCCTATATGGGAATATATTGCCTAATATATCACATGGTATATTCCAATATACTGCAATATATTTTTGTTCCGTAAGGGAGCTCTGCTAATATTTAGTTAGCTCTGTTGAATACTTAGCTCCCTAAATCTGGTCGGTAGGTTGAAGGACTCTCACGAGGCCTCCCTGTTATCATCCCTAGAGCTGAAGGTGCTCCCCTCACAAGGGTCCATTTTAGAGTGCCCAGCCTCCACAGGGCTCTGAAGCACTGTGTACATCCAGGATTGACTCCCCTTGTTTGCAAGGGTTATAAAGTGCTTTGCTGAGTTTTACTCTTCAGGATGCCCATATCCGGTCTGTGAGTGATTACTGCCACTTTCTGTAGTCCTCCCTACCGGATGCCTAAACAAGAAAGGCAAATAGTGTTAGAGACTCTGTTTAGAAAACAGACAGGATGTTGGAAAGACTAGGTCGAACAAACCAAGCCGACGGTCGGCCGCACGGTTCCGTGCCGGCGGCTAAAAAATTGTACTCGTCGGCTTTGTTTCGCCAGATTCAAAATGTTGAATCGGCGTCGGTCCGTCGGGGAAAGAGAGAACTCTGATTGGCTGTTCAGCTTAGTGAAAGAGTCAGTGCACGAGAGTAAAAGCAAAACAGTAAGCAAAGAAGTCAAAACGGTAAAAAGAGAAGGCCGTTCTTATGTTGCTTCATCTTACTCGAGTGTTTCTTGGCGAATATTTCAATATTAACGTGAGCACATTGGAATAAAGAAAACGTTTAGCAGGATTGATATTCAAAACGGTAAGCACGCACTGCTTTGTTTATGGTATGTATATCTGCAGCCAGCAGTTTTGGTTTTCCTTTTTGAATGACGAATATAGACTAATATATCTGCAGAAATAAACAGTTGGCTCATTACACACACAGGCACAGAACTCACATTACTGACATTCGCCTGTAGTTCTCTCGTGTGTTCATGTGCAGCTTTTTACCCCGACGAGAGGGGACAAGAGGCGACAACACAGTCGGCTTTCATCAGCGCTAGTTCGTCGGCGTCGGCTTGGTGTGTTCCGGGCTTTAAAGAATTCCCTTTCAAGGAAGTTGTTGGCTCTAAGGCTTTCAGCAGCCTTGGTAGGCCTTTGTTGTTTCAGAGGCCTCTTTAAGGCTTATAGCTTGGGCAGTGGCCATAGGGAACACTGTCACTGACATTTCAGTGAAACTGCCATTTCTGAGGTATGTCACAGCCATAATTTGGCATGCACTCCCCTCAGCATGGTGGGATTGTACATCGTTCCCCAATAGCATCATCGACGCAGTGCCAGTTCCGTTTCGAAAGGAAACATCTAGGTTACGACTGTAACCTCTGTTCCAGGGAACGAGACACTGTGCCGCTAGCCATGCCTCAAGGATGCCTGTTGAACAGTCCCTTCAGAGAATGAGTGGATGACATGTTCTTTAGGCACCTCTTTTATACTCCCGGATCACACTAGTAGTGACGTCATAGGCTGTTGCTGGTCAATACGATTATCGTGATTGGATAAGCTTTCAGATACTCATTACCTGTGCAGGGAACAGAGGTTACACTCATACAGTTTGTTTTTTGGTAGTGTCAGATATTCTTTGAAACATCCCAAGTCTTCTTTTCGATATTGCAGAGAAAATCTGCTGTTAAATGAATCAGCTGAGTACCAATGGTTTGTACCTCAAACTAGATTGTCAGATGTCTCTCTCCTGGTGATCCAGTTTATTTTCTTCTTTCAAAACAGTATTACAATAGCCTACATACATTTTTTTTTTTTGAGTAATGTGATTGTATTTGACCATTTCCTACTCTTCGTTCTAATCAGCACAAGTGTGCAAATAATAAAATGAAATGTTTATGTGACATAAGGTTTTCTTAGAGTAATAAATCCTGAAAATGAAGGTTTGCTATTACAAGTATACAAATGTAATTTGTAATTGATAGTTTACATATTTTTTAAATTGGGGTCAAATAAATGCACCGTTCACACATTGATTCCAAAATTGTATTTAATATATAAAATATGATGTATATTTTCTTTTATTATTTACTCTTACTGAGGGATATGCACAGCATTAACCTTTCACTTTTTGTTTATGCAGTGCACATATGTCATCATCCTATTTGAACAGTTTTGCAACATTACGTGACAGATCAACGAGAAACATTTATATTTATTTATTTAGCAGACACTATCATCTGAAATGACTTACAAATAAGAAACATCACAAGCTATTTGTCACACAAGAACTAACAATATACAGATATTTGTTCTGTGGGTCTTGTAACATAAATCACACTTCTTTGCTCCAAATAATGTTAACAATTTGTTGTTACTATTGATTATATCCAACCATTTCTAAACCTGAAAAAGCCAAAGCATACATGTATATATGTGGTGAGCAGGACGGCCGAGGGACGTGAGAGAAAGTCGCGAGGCCGGTGGTGCGATTGCTAATGAGCAGCACCTGTGAAGCACACCGGTCTCGCATCTCTCACGAAGGAGCGGAGCCATAAAGGGGGAGCGACGGAGTGGATGATGGCGAGAGGAACAGGCCTGCTTTTGGTTGTATTTTATATTTTATTTGGTAAGCCAGCAGTCGTCCGTGAGGGGCTGCTGGCCGGCATTTTATATTTTATTTTGGGTAGCCAGCAGTCGTCCGTGAGGGGCTGCTGGCAGGTAATTTGTTTGTTTATTTTATTTAAATAAAGTTTTATTTTATTATTATTATCCGGTTCTTGCCTCCTTCTTCCCTGAACTTTGTTACAATATATCTTAGCTTTCATTTAAGATATATTTTTTTTCCTTCTTCTCTCCCTCAAGTGTATTTATTCAATTATTGCGAAAATGACCTTTACATAAAGGCTTTAACGTACCTAAGTTTAATCTTCATTGGCATATACTATGCCATAGCAGAACATCAATCATCACAATGTGTGCTTGAATTACGTTGTTGAGCCATTAAGCTTATTTCAGAATACTGAATCAAGTTTACCCCAAAGACCATATTAAGCTCCATCTGTTTACTTTGTGCTTGTGAGATAATGGAATGTATAGCAGAGTATGACGAAGACTGTGAGAAAACATGTCAGAGCTCCCAGTCTCAACAAACATTTTGCATAGGCTTGGTGGCTACGCACACAACCTCTGATGAGACAAACTAGAGGTTAGGGTAGTTTGGAAGGTTTTGGAGAGTGGTTAGCCTTAGTCTTAATTAATTAAAAATAATAGTAATAATATTAACAGTAAATTGATAATAACAAAAAAGTTGAACGTTTCTGCTTTGGAAGATAGTAAATCCTAAATATGATTATTTATGAAAGGCTTTAATTCATATTTTTTTTTTATTCTTATTTTTTTATGAGAGAGAATTATTTATTTAATAATTGTATTATATGGTTATTTAAATTTTGGTGTTTAGATTAAAATTACCTTTGATCAGGATGTAGATCCTGGAAAAATCTCATGACTCACACTATTGGCCACAATCAATAATTGCTATTATGCAAAAGCATTTCCTTCCACAACACAAAAGTACAGGGCCTAAAGTTTTGTTAAGGAGTGTTCACAAAGTTGAGGATTAAATGTACTAAAGACTCAATATTTATACATCATTAGTTCAAAAAGGTACCCCACCCCATGCATTGTTACAATCATTTCTCTTCTCAAAATAACAAACATTTACATAGTCACATTTCCAGCTATTTAACATATTTCTATTATTTTATTATAACATGTTTTCAGCATTTTTGCATAGAGATGGAGATCAAAATGCAAATGTGCTGGAAACAGATCAATACCTAAACTAAAATGATCAAATTGTTCTTTCATGGTGATGTTTTATATGGTTTGGCTGAAATATAATTTCTAAATATAGTCATAATTACTAAACAAGACTAAGTATAATAATAATTTATATATATATATATATATATATATATATATATATATATATATATATATATATATATATATATATATATAACCAGTAAAACATACAAATAAAAAACACTAAGGAAGTGTAACTGTAAAGATGGCATATGAAAATGGGTGCATGGTTGAAAGAAGAATATTAAAAATCAACATAAACATCTTTTGTTGAATATTAATGCATGTGGCTTCAAATTTCTGTGAGATCATTCTTCTTACTAGAATTTTTTATGTGGTATTTGAATTATGGATTCTAAAATCAGGTATGGAAATCTATCAGCGAAATGTTACATTATGCTGTCATGGAAGATAAACATTTGGCCCCACCTTTAGTTCAATCTTACGTCCCTTCTGAAGGACAAGTATAAAACTCTGAGCATAGGACTGTTTCTTTCTTATTGAACTTGCGGAGAGCTTGACGCTCCACCAACACCATGGGGATGTTAAAAAGAATATCTATAGGAGCGCTGATATGGGTGACACTGTCTATTGGACTTGCGGAAACACAAACCAGTAAGACAAATTTATAACAAGTGTTTCTCAATACTGGATTTTACTTTGATTGTAAAATTATTAGTTTTTTCTAGTAGAATTGTAGAAATACAATAATTATATATGCAGTTACAAGTAATGTCATGCTAATATTTTAAAAGTAATTTGTTCAGATTTATGAATTAACTTTATGAAATATCATCATTATTGGAATAATTAAAAAGAGAAGATAACTATCAAATGTTTATGAGATATTATAAAGCCAATTTATTGTAAATTAATTTCTGAAAAATGTACGATTTGTAAAGCATTCAAAGAAATTATTCTCACCTATGTTTTAACATGCACTTCTCAAACTCCTCCAGCATTTTTCACAACAATGAACATGCAACCAACATCTACAATAGAATTTGCTTTAGGTAAAAATCTCCAAATCATTGAAAATCAATGGTTTTTTCATAATCAACTTATAATCAACAAAACTAATTATTTACATTTTTTTTACCAGGACTGACTCCACAACACAATGAGCTGGTTTGTAGTGCTTGGGGGAACTACCATTTCAAGACCTATGATGGGGACTACTTCCAGCTTTCATCTTCCTGCAACTACATTTTTACATCGCATTGTTCGACCACCTATGAAGACTTTAACATCCAACTGAGGCATCAGGTGGTGAACAGTGATCCAACAATAAGCAAAATCATGATGAAACTACAGGGGACAACAATAGAGCTTACTAAAGGCTCTCTCAGCGTAAATGGGCAAATGTGAGTGATTCTGATAAAGTTTGTTTGATTTTTCAGATCATCTGACTTAGCTGTGTTGATTTCTGACTTCATCTCACATTGCTGTCAATCTTCACTTTGTTTGGCGGTGGTGGTGGTTTGGGAGTTGGAAAAAAAATAAAGTGTCTAATGTCACCACTTTATCTGTAGAGAGACACTTCCATTTACCAACTCTGAAGTTTTCATCGAGAAGATGACATCTTACATTGCAGTCAAGGCTGTTTTGGGGCTAGAAGCCATGTGGAATGAAGATGATTCTTTCATGGTAAGGATATCTTCATTATGCAACAAACCAGCCGCCTCCAATAGCCTACTTAATTAAAGGGTTAGTTCACCCCAAAATGAAGATTCTGTCATCATTTACTCACCCTCAAGTTGTTCAAAACCTGTATGTATTTCTTACTCCTGCTGAACACAAAAGTGGATATTTTGAACAATATGGGCCAAACAGTTGATGGGCCCCATTGACTTCCATAGTATGGAAAAAAAAAATTCTATGGAAGTCAATGGGGCAAAATGATGACAGAATTTCCATTTTTGGGTGAACTATCCCTTTAACCAACCAACAGGAGGAGGGCACTAATACAGGCGTAATGCAATCTATTTTTTAGGTCAAGTTAGATGAAAAATATCAAAACCAAACATGTGGACTGTGTGGTGACTTCAATGGAATCCAGGTTTACAATGAATTCATCAGTGATGGTATTTGTTCATTTATTTATTCATTTTTGCAATGCTGTCTGTTAAAAAAAAACAAAACACATATATTTTCTTGCATGTTTTACATGATTGTCCAGGGACAATAAAGAATCATTGCATGTCTTTTAGGATCTGCGCTGTCTGTTTCTGATTATGGGAACCTCTGGAAGATGGATGGTCCAACAGAAATCTGTAAGGAAGACAAGATATCTCTAGATGAAAACTGTGGAGATGAGGTAAGAAATGGAAAATTCAAATTTTTGAATGTGAATCAATTTATGTCACACGCAGGGTAGAATTTGGAATTATTATTATTGGTAGTCATCATTAATGTTAATGATTATTTTTTGTCCCGTTCTCCACAGAATTTTTGTCGTGATATCTTCTCCAGTTCAGTGTTCAGTGATTGCAGAGGTCTGGTTTCCATCGATTCATTTGTCCAAGTTTGCATGGAAGACTTATGCCATTGCAATGGCTCTTCTGGATCCTTCTGCCTATGCAAAACTATCGCTGAATATTCTAGACAGTGTGTACATGCAGGTGGAAGGCCTGAAGAATGGAGAACAGAATATTTTTGTCGTAAGTATGCCATGTTTAGGCTCATTCTTTTAGTTCTTTGTCAATGTTTGACTTACCATTGTGTGAGTTTTCAAAAGAAGATCTGGGGTTTAATTACCCTCTCAATCCTGCTGATCTAGAGTCTCCTCTTGTAGTTTTGTATTGTTTTTGATAACCGATGCCCTCTGTTTCCATATTGCAGCACATCCGTGCCCAGAAACCATGGTACACCAAGAGTGTGGAAATCCCTGTACTGACACCTGTACCAACCCTGAAAGAGGACAAGTGTGTGAGCGCCACTGTATTGATGGATGCTTCTGCCCTCCTGGTATAGTGTTTTTATTATGATTTTCCTTATTGACACTATATTCTAAAGTAATTAACTGACTATATTCATTTCACTGATACCTTCCTAATCTATTGTCTTTTTGTTTTTAATCTGATATTATTTTGTGTATTCCTCTGGTGGTCTACAGCCTTCTTTTTTTACTCTATGCTAAACTTGGTGACTTTTGTGGCACTTGCTATACGAACATACACACAATCTTGGACATGATTAGAAAAGTTTAAATGGTTGTCTAAATCCAGCTAACCTCAGCTAGCTTTACTACTGGTACACTGTAAAAAATGATTTTTGGTTAAGTAAATACTAGTGAAAAAACCCAATGTAATTTACTTGAAAAAGTTAGTTCAGGCAAGAATTTAAAAAACTAAGTAAATTCCATTTCAGTACTTATTTCAAGCGAGTATAAATGAAAGTGTAATATCAACTCAATAAAATTAAGTAAAAATTACTCAACTTTTCTGATACTGGGGTTCCCATCATGCACTGGACCTTGAATAATTAATGAGGTTCATTTTTCACTGGTTTCCAGCTGTATTTACACTGTTTTATCATTGATTTTTGTTTTCAGTATTAGTAAATTGCCATTTTGTGACATTTCGAGTAAATTTTTTTGCTTAAAACGACACATTCAAACACAAAAACGATCCATCAAATGTTACCACCATTGTTTATGTTTATGTTTATTATTTTGATCCCCATTAGCTGCTACATTAAGCAGCAGCTATTCTTCCTGGGGTCACAACATTTTAACAAAAAATTTAACATCAAAGCTGTACAACAATAAAGACAGATACAGAAGTGCACACAACATCATAAATCATCAAACTCTCACACACACACACACACTAAACGTAACATCAGAATACAAGCTCTTAAATATGCAAAATATTACCACTCTCTGGGTACAACACAAAATATGAAAATCACATTTCAATTATTATAGCTCATTGTCCAGTCATTATTAATTATAAAAATTACAATTACTCCAAAGTAAATAAATAGTCTCAATCTTTTGGAAAAACTAACATTGTGACTCTCTGAGACCAAAAATAATGGGAGCGAGTTCCATGCCACCACTGCTCTGTAACACGATGTCCTTTGAAGTTGATTAGTTCGACAGACAGGTAACAAGAAACGCCCTTCACTTGATTGACGAGTGGAATAAATATGAACGTCACTGAAGAAAGTCAATCTACCATAAATAATTTCAGGTGCTTTAGAAATAATTATATTTTTTAAGAATTTAATAAGAGAATAATTAATTCTACTCCTTACATGAAGCCATTGTGTATTGTCTACCAAGTATTGAGGTGTTTGCATTCACATAAGGCTTAAAGTCTGACATGATGTATATATAAATTACTTAGATGATCTAAGTAAAGAACATAATATAAATGACTAATACAATTCAAGATAATTGTTTTAGTGAAGTGTAAAAGGCAAAGGAAATCGGTATTAATCAACCTTTTACAAGCCGAGTTAAAATTACTTATTTTTTTGTAAAGTTTACTTAATTCCACATTCCAAGTAAATTTAACTTAAAGATTTCTAATTAAAGCATTTTCTAATTAAAGCATAGCATTTTCTGAGTGAGATCGTTTAGCAAGGTTTTTTCAAGTAAATCCTACTCCAAATTTTTTACAGTTTTTACTGATGTTCTGAAGATGTCCATTCTTTCTCAGTGAAAGTGAGCCCTGTCTAAGCCATTGCCCATTTTCCTTTCTCTCGCTTTAAGGCACTATTTTTGATGATATACACAAGACTGGCTGTATTCCACACAGTGAATGCTCCTGCATCCTTGGAGGTAAAATATTTGCATCTGGGGAGAATTACACAAGCAACTGCAGAGAGTGGTAAGCATCTGTTGTTTGAAATTCACACTCAATTTTCTAAAAAAAAAAAAAAAAAAGCTACTGTGTGTACTATATTGACCTGGTTTCACAGACAAGGCTTAAGATAGTCCCAGTCTAAAATTAATGTTTGAGCTGTTTTAACTGAAAGCAACTTGCACAGACATATCTTAAAATGTCTCAGTGCCAATGTTTTGTCTCAGGATGCACACCAGCAATTAATTTTTAAAGGCATGTTTAAATGTCCTAATTGAACTAACTTCTTGTGAAACCAGGCCTGAGTGTTTTAAAAGGTATAGGTTTACATTGACATTGTTATTTCCCATTTAGTACCTGTGAACAGGGGCAGTGGAATTGTAACCAAAAGGATTGTCCACGTGCGTGTTCAGTAGAAGGTGGATCCCATATTACCACTTATGATGGAAAAGCCTACACCTTTCATGGAGACTGCACTTACGTCCTATCCAAAGTATGTGTTTAAAGGCAATTACCTTTAGAGCAGTTTCTGCTTATAAACTAAAGAGCTTTAAGAAAGCCATTAAAATACGTTATGAGGCAGATATTAGTGATAATTTGTGGCTATTGCATGATTGATATGCAAGATAACATCCAAATGGTGCAGATTGTTGTGTGGTGGAAACAGGGATTAGATTTGCATGCCTGTAGTTTAAGAAAATAATTGGATATTTATTGAAGTTAACTATATATTGCTGTCTAGATCTATGTTAACAGTACAGAGAAATAGATTATGGCTGTATAAAGGATAAACAAAATGTGAGCCCACACAAAACCCTATCTTAAAAATGTTTCTGATTTTATTATTAAATATGTTAACAGTTCTATGGACGTTTTTAATATATTTAAATGGTTGGTAATTTAATCTTAATATTTCTTTAGTTTAGCCAATATTAATTAACTGGTCCATTTTTCTTTCTTTTGAAAGCAATGCACAGGAACAGAATTCACAATTCAAGGAGACCTGGTGAAATGTGGCGTGACTGAAACTGAAACCTGTTTGAAGGCAATAACTTTGGCATTGTCAAATGGAAATACTGTAAGTACTAAAAGTTATTGGGGTCGAAAAAACAAAAAGAAAAGACTTTTATCAAAAATGTATGAAACCACATCTAATGTTTCGTGTCACTGTATAAATATATAATCTGCATGTCTTTCTGAAGCATTTCTGAACAGAAACTATTTGTGTACACAGGTGTTTAAAGTGGATTCCAGTGGAAATATTGAGGTCAACAGAATAATTGCCCAGCTGCCACTTTTTACAGGTAGGCTAGGATTGGCAAATCAACAGCAAATGTAGGGGGGTAAATAAATTAATAAATTAATTAATAATAAGCACACAAATATAATTTTGCCTATTTAAACATTCAGTTGGTATACTAAATCAATTTTTGTTATCACAATAGAGCTATCACGTAGCTAAATGATATTAAAGCTAACTTTTGGCCATCCAGCGGTTAAAAAAAAATGAAACGTGTGTCTTGCGGAAGAAGATTGCTTTGGTTGTGCTTCGGCTCTGCTTCTTTGTGTGCATGACTATGGTTTGAGGCACCGGTAAACTACGTGGATTTGACATCTTATCAGAGCGGATAAACAAATAAACAACGGCTGTAGGCTATCTAAAACCCTCATACCCTTTCACATTACTCCAATAATATAGTTCACTGTATGAATAAAAATCATCGCGCGAATGAGGACAATGATGAGTGCCGTGACGGTATCTTATGGCGAGACCGGCCACCTAAACCTTAAAGCTACACTGTGTAACTCTTTTAGTTTATTCTTAGCTAAAAATACTTAGTTCTTTCAAAAATATTTGCGCTCATTAATGTATATTTACTTCGTTTAAGTAATAAAGTATTCTCGTGAGTGTATAATATGCCATTGAAAATCCATACGGGTAAGAGGTTCTAATGTCGGTCGCCATGTTGCCCCTCCATCTTGAAAGTACATTAGCCAAAGAGGGACATATCCGTTAAATCAAGCTTCGCCTTTCGCGTTTACGTCTGAGTTAACACTCATGGACGAGGTCGAACTGGAAGCCATGCTAATCTTGGACTACATTGGCCACTGAAGGAGTTCACTGGATGGTCATATACCTTTTCACCGCTAGATGGGGGTAAAAATCACACAGTGTAGCTTTAACAAACGTTACAAGATGCTGGAATACATTAGGCGCGGTGCTCACAGTGTATATTCTCTAGTTAGCGGCCAGTCTGTACATGTTGTATGGAATAAGTGCGCTTGATAATATTCACAGTAGTTTAGGACTCCACAACAAGTGTATATCACCTAAAATAGTGTGTGGGGGCCGTTTTTTGGGTCTGTTTTTACAACCAGTTTACAACATGAAATTTTGAAATTTTGCACACTGTCAATAACAACATTGATATTTTTATTTATTATTATTTTTATATAAAAAAGTTACATATAAACAGAGAAAAGTAATTTGATGAATATAGAAGAGCCTTTACAGTGATCTGATTTCAAATGGTGTTGGCACACATTGAATATTTGTTTTGAAAGACTGATCATGGTTATGTGAAGAACTAATTGATTACTATGTCTTGCCTTATATTAAACACACACCAATGTCTGTAATTCTAAACTTGTATTTTTATTTGATTTTCAGCTGATGTGAGCATTTTCAAGCCCTCCTCATTCTACATTATCATTCAGGCCCGTTTGATTGGGCTTCGTCTGGAGATCCAGCTTGAACCGTTAATGCAACTTTACATCACAGTCAATTCAGCGTACCAAGGAGAAACATGTGGTATTTATTTTTGCAGACCTCTTAGCATTAACCCTCTCGTACTATCCTCTGGACAAAAGCAGCGTATTTTACTTTATGCGAAGGCTTTCTGTATTTTGGGAATATTTACGTCTTCGGTGAATTTGATTTTATATCCTAGATTAATTTATTTTATCAATCAATCAATCCATAGGTCTTTGTGGAAATTTCAACAACATTGAGGCTGATGATTTTACAACCATTGGCGGACTCAGGGAAGGAACAGCTTTGGACTTTGCCAACACCTGGAAAACAAGAGCAAGTTGCCTTGATGCTAAAAGAAACTTTGAGAATCCTTGCAGTCTTAGCACTGAAAATGGTATGAATTTACCTTTACTGTTGTCATGTGATTTCCACAACATTCTTGCATTTGTAACTCTGGAACGTCATCAAGAACTGATCATTTTTTCTAAAAAAACACAGAGAAATATGCACAGCACTGGTGCTCCCTGCTGTCAGACCCTTCATCAGTGTTTGCCCCCTGCCACTCTGAAATCAGCCCGGAAGTCTACAAAGCAGTAAGTGAAATCTATAAGCTGTATCTTATAAGATATAATAAGATGTATTTTTATTTTCAAGCTGAATCTAACTTTTTCATACTTTTTAGAATTGTATATATGACAGCTGCAACTGTGAGAAGAGTGAGGACTGTATGTGTGCTGCATTGTCTTCATACGTACATGCATGTGCTGCAAGAGGGATTGCTCTTGATGGCTGGAGAGATGTTGCCTGCAGTGAGTGGCTTTCTTCTCAGAACGGCTTGAGAATATTTGATATTTATATTTGATAGCTTGACAAGCTGTTTTGAGATTTTACTTAAAAAGTCATGCTGATTTAAAACAACATGTGAGATGGGAGCTCAAATAAATGTATTTGCTCACATATGTTCATTAAGTGGATTGTAGTTCAACTCAAATAAATGACCTCTCCTTCTTCTCAGAAAAGTACACCCTAACTTGCCCCACCACCACGGTCTACTCCTATAAAATGACCAGCTGTGACCGCACTTGCCGATCCCTCAGCCAATCAGACAACACCTGCGCCATTGACTTTGTGCCAGTAGATGGCTGTGGCTGTGCAGAAGGAACATACATGAACGAGAATGGTGACTGTGTTGCATCTGCCAGCTGCTCATGCTATGATTCAGGCAAAATTATTCCTGCTGGGATCTCCATCTCCAAAGATGGAGGATCATGGTATGGACATGGAATTGGTTACATTTCTTATATTTTGTATACAGGGTTTTTTATGTCAAGGACACCCAAAACTCTTATGAATGGCACTTGACACCTCCTTATGGCATTCTTATGAAAATCTAACCACCTGTATATATACATTTTTAATAATATTAGGTTAAGATTGTGAGAAAAATAAAGAATTGATTTTAGTATCATCATTGTATTCAGGCCAAACTAAATTTGTATAGAGCATTTCACAATCTTTTTGCAAGTCTTCTTTTGCTCTTAAATTTTATAATAATTTTAACCAAGAGGGTGCTAGGGGTCCATGAACTTCAGTTTGAAAACCCCTTGTAGATTACTGTCCCCAATGTGATTTAATAATATTTAACTTAATATTTCAATTTCAGTATTTGCGAACAAGGGAAACTGAGCTGCACTGGTGGATCAACTGGGCAAGGTGTGTATCTGTATGTCTGTGTGTGAGAGAGAAGCTATATGTAAATTGTTTTTAGATTTATTTTCTTAGTGATTTTATTTGACATCATCTGCACTTATACCTTTAAGTGAATACATTGTCTAATCAATTCTTTGAATTTTTACTTTAAGAATGCAAAGAGCCAATGATGTTTTTCAACTGCTCCAGCGTTAGCCCTGATTCCAAGGGATCAGAGTGTCAGAAGAGCTGCAAAACATTAGACATGGCCTGTGTGAGTTACATGAACGCTTATAAAGGTGTAGATCATGCTTATGTTATTCTAAACCAGTATGCTACTTTCTCTGTTTCTGTGTAACACAAAACAAGAAATATGAATGACATGACATGGTCATAGTGCACTGTATACTTCTGCAATAGTACAGGGATTATAAAACACCAGAATTGCACCACAAAAGTAGTACCAGCTCTTATATGCAGAATGGAAAATGAGACAGACTGTACAGAAAAGAGCACTGTGAAGACACTATAAACTCTCTCCCTTTGTGTTCCACTGAGAAAAAAAACAGCATATGGGTTTAGAATGTCATTGGCGTAAGTAAACAACCAATAAATTGTAATATAAGGGTGAATTATTCCTTTCTGCAGTAATAATTTGTTGTGAAATATTGCATATGCATTACTGCAGATCAGCACAGAGTGTGTGTCTGGCTGTGTGTGCCCATCTGGGCTGGTGTCAGATGGGAAAGGTGGCTGCATTGCTGAAGACCTCTGTCCTTGCATCCATAATGGAGTTGCCTACCAACCTGGGGAAAGCATTAAGACTGATTGCAATACATGGTAAATACAACTGTGAGATTTTTAGTATTTTTTTTATATTTTAAATGCTTGTTTATAATGCACTTACATTACTTTTTGTAGTGCTTGTAAGAATAGACGATGGATTTGTACCACAAACCAGTGCAGTGGGACATGCAGCATTTATGGAGATGGTCATTATAGAACCTTTGATGAGAAAAGATACGTCTTTAGTGGAAACTGTGAATACAGCCTTGTTCAGGTATTAACCTTACACTTTTTTATGAGGCCTGAAGATTTTATTTGACTTAATCTAAATCTAAATGTTCATGTTACGCCTAGGACTTCTGCAATGGCACCAGTGGCACTTTCAGAGTCATTACTGAAAATATCCCTTGCGGATCCAGTGGCACCACTTGTTCCAAGGCTATCAAGCTTTTTCTTGGAGTGAGTTAACTCTTGGCATTTACCAAAGCAGGCATATCAAACCTTTAAATTAGTACAGAATGAACATTGCATTTGTCATTTATATTTCAGAGCAATGAGCTTAGATTGACAGATGGATCCTACCAAGTTGTTCACAGAGATGCAGGAGAGGAGATTCCCTACCAGATGCGCACTATGGGGCTTTACTTGGTGATTGAGGCCAGTAATGGTCTGATGCTCATTTGGGACAGAAAAACAACAATACACATCAAACTGAATCCAGAGTTTAATGTGAGTAACTTGGCGGGACTATCACCTCAATCTTTGTCAAGTCTATTTATTAAATATTATATATATACATATCGCAGTCATATTTATAATAACAGTGTCCTATTCATATTGACAGGGGCGTGTGTGTGGTCTATGTGGAAACTATGATGGGAACGCAAAAAATGACTTCACTACACGCAGTCAAGCAATTGCTGTCGAAGCCCTGGATTTTGTAAACAGCTGGAAGCTCTCTAGTTGTCCAGATGCAACTCTCATCCAAGAACCATGTGTCCATAATCCGTATAGAGAGGCCTGGGCAAAGAGGCAGTGCAGCATCATTACTAGCAAAGTCTTCTCAACATGTCATTCACAGGTACCTTCAACAAGCTATTTAGGGAACTTGAATATCCATATGTTAAGTATATGAAGAGTTCAGATGCAAAAGCCTCTAAATGCCATTTGAAATTTTCTTCTTTAATGATGATTTTTATCAAACTTGTATATTTAAGTTCAGTAATTTCACTTAAATAACAATTAATAGGTAATCTTCATTGCCATTTAAGTGAAATCACTGAAATTAAATATACAAGCTTGATAAAAATGATCATTCTAGAAGAAAATTTCAAATGGCACTTAGAGGCTTTTGCATCTGAACTCTTCATATTATGTCTGAAAAATCGATCGCATTTACCAGCCACATTGTTATGAATATTGCTTTAAAGGTGGACCCCTCTCCTTTTTATGATGCTTGTGTGAGAGACGCATGCGCCTGTGATAGTGGTGGAGATTATGAATGTTTTTGTACGGCTGTAACAGCCTATGCACAAGCCTGTAACGAGGCTGGAGCCTGTGTTGCCTGGAGAACACCTAAAATATGCCGTGAGTCACTGATCGCATTGTCATCAGATATGATGAAATGGAATAACTAAAAACAAGTTTAAGGTTTGCCTTTTCGTTTCAGCATTGTTCTGTGATTATTACAATCCCCCTGGTGAATGTGAGTGGCATTACCAACCTTGTGGAGCTCCTTGTATGCAGACATGCAGAAACCCTTCTGGAAATTGCTCTAGTCAGATACCAGCACTTGAAGGTGAGAACTCGCAATTACAACCAGTTCTATCATTTGCATGTTATTGAGAAAACAACTATAAATACTTGTATTTGGAAGAAACACTGAAATAATTTTGTCACATCACACTTATTTTGTATTCTATTAAACACATATTTTTAAACAATGAATAATAATCAGTGTACATTTACTACTGTAGATAGAAACACTAGAGATAATTTTGCTTGAGCTTAAAAAAATTTAATTTTTGTCAAGTATTCATGCAAATGTATCATTAAAATATCAGAATCATAAAAAAAATCCCCTAAACTGGAACAGTTTATAGAATACAGTAGTTAGTGTCTTCACAACATTTGGCACAACAATTCACTGAAATCTATTCTTACTTTTAACTTCACATTGCGTCATCAGGATTTTCTCTGATTTATATTTTTCCCTTTGAACCTTTTTTAGGATGCTATCCTAAATGTCCTCCGGAGCAACCTGTTTTTGATGAGGACAACATGAAGTGTGTGACACAGGAAGATTGTGGCTGCTTTGTTGAAATGTTACATTATCAAATTGGCCAGCAGGTGCCAACCACAGAAAACTGTCAGTCATGGTATGTGTATTTTCTACTCATATCCAAGTTTCATATAGGTTACTAACAGTTTTAAAATTTCCTATGTGTGCTTTTTTCATGCAGTTATTGTTCATCAACTGGTGTTATCTGTGACTTTGATGTAAATGGTAAGAATTTTGCCATTTCAGTTATAGTTTAGTTTGAAGATTGGTTTAGTTTAGTTGAAAGCAGAATCTACTTTCATTACATAATTTTTTCATACTTTTTCTTCATTTACAGCATGTACATGCCAATACAACAATGTAGAGTACTACTTTGGAGATATAATTTATCACACAACGGATGGACTGGGAGGATGTATCACAGGCAGATGTTCAGTCAATGGAACTATTGAGAGGACTTTGATACCTTGTGAAACGACTGCTGTCCCAACAGTCACATCCCCCCTGACCACAACACAGAAATTAACACCAACCCCGACAACAGTTTTTGTCTTCAGCACCCCAGGTACCTTGTTATTTCTGTAGTAGACTGTTTTTCCTCATATATTGCTAGAATATTTAGGGTTCATTCATTGGAAATCAAAGCTTATTAAGCATTAGTTATCCTGGGAGGATTTGTAGTAGTAAACATTGATTATTTTAATTCAAATACAAATGATCACAACTTCTCCAGACAAAGGAACTGAAAAATATTTTTAAATTATTCAAACACTGAAATGAATAAGATTAATAGCAAATTAACATTTTTGTATTGTAAAATACATGTATTTTATATTAATTTGCTATTAATCTTGTTTACTTTAAGATTTTTCTTATTGAATGCTTATTTTACATTCATGTTACATTTCATAACTTATTTAATTGATGACCACAGAATACACTTCACCGGAAACTGAAAAAGAAACAACCACAACTCTTGAGGTTTTATCTACATCCAACAAGCCAGAACATTTGACAAGTGGACCAACAACTGAAGTTATTTTAACTGCTTCTACTGCAGAAATTAAACATTCAACTGAACAACTGGTATATGTAACTTCAAAGCCTTCAACGTCATCAGAACAAACATCAACACTGTCCTTATCAACGACAGCAAAGAGAACAACGGTCACTGAAAGTTCCATAGAGACACAAAGTACAGTAACATCGAAAACCTCAATTGCACCCATTACAAAAACACTTCCAACAGTAACTGGTAAAGTGTGGACAACACTTTCCACAGAATCACAATCTGTGTCCACACTTCAGACGACTGGAGATCACACCACTGAGTATGAATTTACTTCGTTACCTGAAACATCAACATCTACAAGCACATCTCTCCCAGAGACACAAACCTCATTACCAGTTGTTACATCCATGCAACCAACAACGCTAACAAAGACAACTGCTGTGCCAGTCACGGCAACAACAGTGACTGTTGAATCGACCACTGGATATGAGGTTAGCACTCAGGGTGTTTCTTCAACAACAAAAGCAGTGAAAGTTGAAACAACTCTTTCAACCACTACACCAGCCATCTCATCAACCACTGTCCTTGTTGAGGAGGGAAGCACCACTGTCCAGCCACCTACAGAAACATCATCTCCAAGCAGTGTCTACACAACTTCTAAATCATCTACAGCTACTCAAACAACTGGAGAAGTAACATCAACTGAAACTGTAACTGAAAACGAATTGACCACATCTCCCACATATTTGCCCACAACCAGGCCGCCAAAAGTGGTAACAACTGGTCAAACAAGCCTACCAACAACTACAGCCACAACCACTTTGGAAGAGTTAACAGCCACATCATCTGAAACGTCGACATCCCCTAGCACATCTCTCCCAGTGACACAAACTTCACTACCAGTCGTTACATCCACTCAACCAACAACGCTAACAAAGACAACTGCTGTGCCAGTCAGTACACTTGTGTCAACAACAGTGAGTGTTGAGTCGTCCACTGCGTATGAGGTTAGCACTCAGGGTGTTTCTTCAACAACAAAACCAGTCAAAGCTGAAACAACTCTTTCAACCACCACACCAGCTATGCCATCCACCACTGTCCTTGTCGAGGAGGGCAGCACCACTGTCCAGCCAAGTACAGAAACATCATCTCCAAGCAGTGTCTACACAACTTCTAAATCATCTACAGCTACTCAAACAACTGGAGAAGTAACATCAACTGAAACTGTAACTGAAAACGAATTGACCACATCTCCCACATCTTTGTCCACCACCAGGCCACCAAAGGTGGTAACAAGTGGTCAAACAAGACTACCAACAACTACAGCCACGACCACTTTGGAAGAGTTAACAGCCACATCATCTGAAACGTCGACATCCCCTAGCACATCTCTCCCAGTGACACAAACTTCACTACCAGTCGTTACATCCACTCAACCAACAACGCTAACAAAGACAACTGCTGTGCCAGTCAGTACACTTGTGTCAACAACAGTGAGTGTTGAGTCGTCCACTGCGTATGAGGTTAGCACTCAGGGTGTTTCTTCAACAACAAAACCAGTCAAAGCTGAAACAACTCTTTCAACCACCACACCAGCTATCCCATCCACCACTGTCCTTGTCGAGGAGGGCAGCACCACTGTCCAGCCGAGTACAGAAACATCATCTCCAAGCAGTGTCTACACAACTTCTAAATCATCTACAGCTACTCAAACAACTGGAGAAGTAACATCAACTGAAACTGTAACTGAAAACGAATTGACCACATCTCCCACATCTTTGTCCACCACCAGGCCACCAAAGGTGGTAACAAGTGGTCAAACAAGACTACCAACAACTACAGCCACGACCACTTTGGAAGAGTTAACAGCCACATCATCTGAAACGTCGACATCCCCTAGCACATCTCTCCCAGTTACACAAACTTCACTACCAGTCGTTACATCCACTCAACCAACAACGCTAACAAAGACAACTGCTGTGCCAGTCAGTACACTTGTGTCAACAACAGTGAGTGTTGAGTCGTCCACTGCGTATGAGGTTAGCACTCAGGGTGTTTCTTCAACAACAAAACCAGTCAAAGCTGAAACAACTCTTTCAACCACCACACCAGCTATGCCATCCACCACTGTCCTTGTCGAGGAGGGCAGCACCACTGTCCAGCCAAGTACAGAAACATCATCTCCAAGCAGTGTCTACACAACTTCTAAATCATCTACAGCTACTCAAACAACTGGAGAAGTAACATCAACTGAAACTGTAACTGAAAACGAATTGACCACATCTCCCACATCTTTGTCCACCACCAGGCCACCAAAGGTGGTAACAAGTGGTCAAACAAGACTACCAACAACTACAGCCACGACCACTTTGGAAGAGTTAACAGCCACATCATCTGAAACGTCGACATCCCCTAGCACATCTCTCCCAGTGACACAAACTTCACTACCAGTCGTTACATCCACTCAACCAACAACGCTAACAAAGACAACTGCTGTGCCAGTCAGTACACTTGTGTCAACAACAGTGAGTGTTGAGTCGTCCACTGCGTATGAGGTTAGCACTCAGGGTGTTTCTTCAACAACAAAACCAGTCAAAGCTGAAACAACTCTTTCAACCACCACACCAGCTATCCCATCCACCACTGTCCTTGTCGAGGAGGGCAGCACCACTGTCCAGCCACGTACAGAAACATCATCTCCAAGCAGTGTCTACACAACTTCTAAATCATCTACAGCTACTCAAACAACTGGAGAAGTAACATCAACTGAAACTGTAACTGAAAACGAATTGACCACATCTCCCACATCTTTGTCCACCACCAGGCCACCAAAGGTGGTAACAAGTGGTCAAACAAGACTACCAACAACTACAGCCACGACCACTTTGGAAGAGTTAACAGCCACATCATCTGAAACGTCGACATCCCCTAGCACATCTCTCCCAGTGACACAAACTTCACTACCAGTCGTTACATCCACTCAACCAACAACGCTAACAAAGACAACTGCTGTGCCAGTCAGTACACTTGTGTCAACAACAGTGAGTGTTGAGTCGTCCACTGCGTATGAGGTTAGCACTCAGGGTGTTTCTTCAACAACAAAACCAGTCAAAGCTGAAACAACTCTTTCAACCACCACACCAGCTATCCCATCCACCACTGTCCTTGTCGAGGAGGGCAGCACCACTGTCCAGCCAAGTACAGAAACATCATCTCCAAGCAGTGTCTACACAACTTCTAAATCATCTACAGCTACTCAAACAACTGGAGAAGTAACATCAACTGAAACTGTAACTGAAAACGAATTGACCACATCTCCCACATCTTTGTCCACCACCAGGCCACCAAAGGTGGTAACAAGTGGTCAAACAAGACTACCAACAACTACAGCCACGACCACTTTGGAAGAGTTAACAGCCACATCATCTGAAACGTCGACATCCCCTAGCACATCTCTCCCAGTGACACAAACTTCACTACCAGTCGTTACATCCACTCAACCAACAACGCTAACAAAGACAACTGCTGTGCCAGTCAGTACACTTGTGTCAACAACAGTGAGTGTTGAGTCGTCCACTGCGTATGAGGTTAGCACTCAGGGTGTTTCTTCAACAACAAAACCAGTCAAAGCTGAAACAACTCTTTCAACCACCACACCAGCTATCCCATCCACCACTGTCCTTGTCGAGGAGGGCAGCACCACTGTCCAGCCAAGTACAGAAACATCATCTCCAAGCAGTGTCTACACAACTTCTAAATCATCTACAGCTACTCAAACAACTGGAGAAGTAACATCAACTGAAACTGTAACTGAAAACGAATTGACCACATCTCCCACATCTTTGTCCACCACCAGGCCACCAAAGGTGGTAACAAGTGGTCAAACAAGACTACCAACAACTACAGCCACGACCACTTTGGAAGAGTTAACAGCCACATCATCTGAAACGTCGACATCCCCTAGCACATCTCTCCCAGTTACACAAACTTCACTACCAGTCGTTACATCCACTCAACCAACAACGCTAACAAAGACAACTGCTGTGCCAGTCAGTACACTTGTGTCAACAACAGTGAGTGTTGAGTCGTCCACTGCGTATGAGGTTAGCACTCAGGGTGTTTCTTCAACAACAAAACCAGTCAAAGCTGAAACAACTCTTTCAACCACCACACCAGCTATCCCATCCACCACTGTCCTTGTCGAGGAGGGCAGCACCACTGTCCAGCCAAGTACAGAAACATCATCTCCAAGCAGTGTCTACACAACTTCTAAATCATCTACAGCTACTCAAACAACTGGAGAAGTAACATCAACTGAAACTGTAACTGAAAACGAATTGACCACATCTCCCACATCTTTGTCCACCACCAGGCCACCAAAGGTGGTAACAAGTGGTCAAACAAGACTACCAACAACTACAGCCACGACCACTTTGGAAGAGTTAACAGCCACATCATCTGAAACGTCGACATCCCCTAGCACATCTCTCCCAGTGACACAAACTTCACTACCAGTCGTTACATCCACTCAACCAACAACGCTAACAAAGACAACTGCTGTGCCAGTCAGTACACTTGTGTCAACAACAGTGAGTGTTGAGTCGTCCACTGCGTATGAGGTTAGCACTCAGGGTGTTTCTTCAACAACAAAACCAGTCAAAGCTGAAACAACTCTTTCAACCACCACACCAGCTATCCCATCCACCACTGTCCTTGTCGAGGAGGGCAGCACCACTGTCCAGCCAAGTACAGAAACATCATCTCCAAGCAGTGTCTACACAACTTCTAAATCATCTACAGCTACTCAAACAACTGGAGAAGTAACATCAACTGAAACTGTAACTGAAAACGAATTGACCACATCTCCCACATCTTTGTCCACCACCAGGCCACCAAAGGTGGTAACAAGTGGTCAAACAAGACTACCAACAACTACAGCCACGACCACTTTGGAAGAGTTAACAGCCACATCATCTGAAACGTCGACATCCCCTAGCACATCTCTCCCAGTGACACAAACTTCACTACCAGTCGTTACATCCACTCAACCAACAACGCTAACAAAGACAACTGCTGTGCCAGTCAGTACACTTGTGTCAACAACAGTGAGTGTTGAGTCGTCCACTGCGTATGAGGTTAGCACTCAGGGTGTTTCTTCAACAACAAAACCAGTCAAAGCTGAAACAACTCTTTCAACCACCACACCAGCTATCCCATCCACCACTGTCCTTGTCGAGGAGGGCAGCACCACTGTCCAGCCAAGTACAGAAACATCATCTCCAAGCAGTGTCTACACAACTTCTAAATCATCTACAGCTACTCAAACAACTGGAGAAGTAACATCAACTGAAACTGTAACTGAAAACGAATTGACCACATCTCCCACATCTTTGTCCACCACCAGGCCACCAAAGGTGGTAACAAGTGGTCAAACAAGACTACCAACAACTACAGCCACGACCACTTTGGAAGAGTTAACAGCCACATCATCTGAAACGTCGACATCCCCTAGCACATCTCTCCCAGTGACACAAACTTCACTACCAGTCGTTACATCCACTCAACCAACAACGCTAACAAAGACAACTGCTGTGCCAGTCAGTACACTTGTGTCAACAACAGTGAGTGTTGAGTCGTCCACTGCGTATGAGGTTAGCACTCAGGGTGTTTCTTCAACAACAAAACCAGTCAAAGCTGAAACAACTCTTTCAACCACCACACCAGCTATCCCATCCACCACTGTCCTTGTCGAGGAGGGCAGCACCACTGTCCAGCCAAGTACAGAAACATCATCTCCAAGCAGTGTCTACACAACTTCTAAATCATCTACAGCTACTCAAACAACTGGAGAAGTAACATCAACTGAAACTGTAACTGAAAACGAATTGACCACATCTCCCACATCTTTGTCCACCACCAGGCCACCAAAGGTGGTAACAAGTGGTCAAACAAGACTACCAACAACTACAGCCACGACCACTTTGGAAGAGTTAACAGCCACATCATCTGAAACGTCGACATCCCCTAGCACATCTCTCCCAGTGACACAAACTTCACTACCAGTCGTTACATCCACTCAACCAACAACGCTAACAAAGACAACTGCTGTGCCAGTCAGTACACTTGTGTCAACAACAGTGAGTGTTGAGTCGTCCACTGCGTATGAGGTTAGCACTCAGGGTGTTTCTTCAACAACAAAACCAGTCAAAGCTGAAACAACTCTTTCAACCACCACACCAGCTATCCCATCCACCACTGTCCTTGTCGAGGAGGGCAGCACCACTGTCCAGCCAGTACAGAAACATCATCTCCAAGCAGTGTCTACACAACTTCTAAATCATCTACAGCTACTCAAACAACTGGAGAAGTAACATCAACTGAAACTGTAACTGAAAACGAATTGACCACATCTCCCACATCTTTGTCCACCACCAGGCCACCAAAGGTGGTAACAAGTGGTCAAACAAGACTACCAACAACTACAGCCACGACCACTTTGGAAGAGTTAACAGCCACATCATCTGAAACGTCGACATCCCCTAGCACATCTCTCCCAGTGACACAAACTTCACTACCAGTCGTTACATCCACTCAACCAACAACGCTAACAAAGACAACTGCTGTGCCAGTCAGTACACTTGTGTCAACAACAGTGAGTGTTGAGTCGTCCACTGCGTATGAGGTTAGCACTCAGGGTGTTTCTTCAACAACAAAACCAGTCAAAGCTGAAACAACTCTTTCAACCACCACACCAGCTATCCCATCCACCACTGTCCTTGTCGAGGAGGGCAGCACCACTGTCCAGCCAAGTACAGAAACATCATCTCCAAGCAGTGTCTACACAACTTCTAAATCATCTACAGCTACTCAAACAACTGGAGAAGTAACATCAACTGAAACTGTAACTGAAAACGAATTGACCACATCTCCCACATCTTTGTCCACCACCAGGCCACCAAAGGTGGTAACAAGTGGTCAAACAAGACTACCAACAACTACAGCCACGACCACTTTGGAAGAGTTAACAGCCACATCATCTGAAACGTCGACATCCCCTAGCACATCTCTCCCAGTGACACAAACTTCACTACCAGTCGTTACATCCACTCAACCAACAACGCTAACAAAGACAACTGCTGTGCCAGTCAGTACACTTGTGTCAACAACAGTGAGTGTTGAGTCGTCCACTGCGTATGAGGTTAGCACTCAGGGTGTTTCTTCAACAACAAAACCAGTCAAAGCTGAAACAACTCTTTCAACCACCACACCAGCTATCCCATCCACCACTGTCCTTGTCGAGGAGGGCAGCACCACTGTCCAGCCAAGTACAGAAACATCATCTCCAAGCAGTGTCTACACAACTTCTAAATCATCTACAGCTACTCAAACAACTGGAGAAGTAACATCAACTGAAACTGTAACTGAAAACGAATTGACCACATCTCCCACATCTTTGTCCACCACCAGGCCACCAAAGGTGGTAACAAGTGGTCAAACAAGACTACCAACAACTACAGCCACGACCACTTTGGAAGAGTTAACAGCCACATCATCTGAAACGTCGACATCCCCTAGCACATCTCTCCCAGTGACACAAACTTCACTACCAGTCGTTACATCCACTCAACCAACAACGCTAACAAAGACAACTGCTGTGCCAGTCAGTACACTTGTGTCAACAACAGTGAGTGTTGAGTCGTCCACTGCGTATGAGGTTAGCACTCAGGGTGTTTCTTCAACAACAAAACCAGTCAAAGCTGAAACAACTCTTTCAACCACCACACCAGCTATCCCATCCACCACTGTCCTTGTCGAGGAGGGCAGCACCACTGTCCAGCCAAGTACAGAAACATCATCTCCAAGCAGTGTCTACACAACTTCTAAATCATCTACAGCTACTCAAACAACTGGAGAAGTAACATCAACTGAAACTGTAACTGAAAACGAATTGACCACATCTCCCACATCTTTGTCCACCACCAGGCCACCAAAGGTGGTAACAAGTGGTCAAACAAGACTACCAACAACTACAGCCACGACCACTTTGGAAGAGTTAACAGCCACATCATCTGAAACGTCGACATCCCCTAGCACATCTCTCCCAGTGACACAAACTTCACTACCAGTCGTTACATCCACTCAACCAACAACGCTAACAAAGACAACTGCTGTGCCAGTCAGTACACTTGTGTCAACAACAGTGAGTGTTGAGTCGTCCACTGCGTATGAGGTTAGCACTCAGGGTGTTTCTTCAACAACAAAACCAGTCAAAGCTGAAACAACTCTTTCAACCACCACACCAGCTATCCCATCCACCACTGTCCTTGTCGAGGAGGGCAGCACCACTGTCCAGCCACGTACAGAAACATCATCTCCAAGCAGTGTCTACACAACTTCTAAATCATCTACAGCTACTCAAACAACTGGAGAAGTAACATCAACTGAAACTGTAACTGAAAACGAATTGACCACATCTCCCACATCTTTGTCCACCACCAGGCCACCAAAGGTGGTAACAAGTGGTCAAACAAGACTACCAACAACTACAGCCACGACCACTTTGGAAGAGTTAACAGCCACATCATCTGAAACTTTGACATCCCCTAGCACATCTTTCCCAGTGACACAAACTTCACTACCAGTCGTGACATCCACTCAACCAACAACACTAACAAAGACAACTGCTGTGCCAGTCAGTACACTTGTGTCAACAACAGTGAGTGCTGAATCGTCCACTGAGTATGAAGTTAGCACGCAGGGTGTTTCTTCAACAACAAAACCAGTGAAAGCTGAAACAACTCTTTCAACCACCACACCAGCCATCACTTCCACCACTGTCCTTGTCGAGGAGGGAAGCACCACTGTCCAGCCATCTACAGAAACATCATCTCCAAGCAGTGTCTACACAACTACTAAATCATCTACAGCTACTCAAACAACCGGAGAAGTAACAACAACTGAGACTGTAACTGAGAACGAACTGACCACATCTCCCACACATTTGTCCACCACCAGGCCGCCAAAGGTGGTAACAACTGGTCAAACAATCCTACCAACAACTACAGCCACAACCACTTTGGAAGAGTTGACAGCTACATCATCTGAAACGTCGACATCCCCAAGCACATCTCTCCCAGTGACACAAACTTCACTACCAGTCATTACATCCACTCAACCAACAACGCTAACAAAGACAACTGCTGTGCCAGTCAGTACACTTGTGTCAACAACAGTGAGTGTTGAATCGTCCACTGGTAGACAATCGTCTACATCCAACAAGCCAGAAAAATTGACAAGTGGACCAACAACTGAAGTTATTTTAACTGCTTCTACTGCACAAATTAAACATTCAACTGAACAACTGGTATTTGTAACTTCAAAGCCTTCAACATCATCAGATCAAACATCAACACTCTCCTTATCAACGACAGCAAAGAGAACAACGGTCACTGAAAGTTCCATAGAGACACAAAGTACAGTAACATCAAAAACCTCAATTGCACCCATTACAAAAACACTTCCAACAGTCACTGGTAAAGTGTGGACAACACTTTCCACAGAATCACAATCTGTGTCCACACTTCAAACGACTGGAGATCACACCACTGGGTATGAATTTACTTCGTTATCTGAAACATCAACATCCCCTAGCACATCTCTCCCAGAGACACAAACCTCATTACCAGTTGTTACATCCATGCAACCAACAACGCTAACAAAGACAACTGCTGTGCCACTCAGTACAATTGTGTCAACAACAGTTAGTGTTGAATCGTCCACTGGGTATGAGGTTAGCACTCAGGGTGTTTCTTCAACAACAAAACCAGTCAAAGCTGAAACAACTCTTTCAACCACCACACCAGCTATCCCATCCACCACTGTCTTTGTCGAGGAGGGAAGCACCACTGTCCAGCCACCTACAGAAACATCATCTCCAAGCAGTGTCTACACAACTTCAAAATCATCTACAGCTACTCAAACAACTGGAGAAGTAACAACAACTGAGACTGTAACTGAAAACGAATTGACCACATCTCCCACACTTTTGTCTACCACCAGGCCACCAAAGGTGGTAACAACTGGTCAAACAAATCTACCAACAACTACAGCCACGACCACATTAGAAGAGTTGACAGCTACATCATCTGAAACGTTGACATCCCCTAGCACATCTCTCCCAGTGACACAAACTTCACTACCAATCGTTACATCCACTCAACCAACAACACTAACAGAGACAACTGCTGTGCCAGTCAGTACACTTGTGTCAACAACAGTGAGAGTCGAATCATCCACTGGGTATGAGGTTAGCACTCAGGGTGTTTCTTCAACAACAAAACCAGTCAAAGCTGAAACAACTCTTTCAACCACCACACCAGCCATCCCATCCACCACTGTCCTTGTTGAGGAGGGAAGCACCACTGTCCAGCCACCTACAGAAACATCATCTCCAAGCAGTGTCTACACAACTTCAAAATCATCTACAGCTACTCAAACAACTGGAGAAGTAACAACAACTGAGACTGTAACTGAAAACGAATTGACCACATCTCCCACACTTTTGTCCACCACCAGGCCGCCAAAGGTGGTAACAACTGGTCAAACAAATCTACCAACAACTACAGCCACGACCACATTAGAAGAGTTGACAGCTACATCATCTGAAACGTTGACATCCCCTAGCACATCTCTCCCAGTGACACAAACTTCACTACCAATTGTTACATCCACTCAACCAACAACACTAACAGAGACAACTGCTGTGCCAGTCAGTACACTTGTGTCAACAACAGTGAGAGTCGAATCATCCACTGGGTATGAGGTTAGCACTCAGGGTGTTTCTTCAACAACAAAACCAGTCAAAGCTGAAACAACTCTTTCAACCACCACACCAGCTATCCCATCCACCACTGTCCTTGTCGAGGAGGGCAGCACCACTGTCCAGCCGAGTACAGAAACATCATCTCCAAGCAGTGTCTACACAACTTCTAAATCATCTACAGCTACTCAAACAACTGGAGAAGTAACATCAACTGAAACTGTAACTGAAAACGAATTGACCACATCTCCCACATCTTTGTCCACCACCAGGCCACCAAAGGTGGTAACAAGTGGTCAAACAAGACTACCAACAACTACAGCCACGACCACTTTGGAAGAGTTAACAGCCACATCATCTGAAACGTCGACATCCCCTAGCACATCTCTCCCAGTTACACAAACTTCACTACCAGTCGTTACATCTACTCAACCAACAACGCTAACAAAGACAACTGCTGTGCCAGTCAGTACATTTGTGTCAACAACAGTGAGTGTTGAGTCGTCCACTGCGTATGAGGTTAGCACTCAGGGTGTTTCTTCAACAACAAAACCAGTCAAAGCTGAAACAACTCTTTCAACCACCACACCAGCTATCCCATCCACCACTGTCCTTGTCGAGGAGGGCAGCACCACTGTCCAGCCAAGTACAGAAACATCATCTCCAAGCAGTGTCTACACAACTTCTAAATCATCTACAGCTACTCAAACAACTGGAGAAGTAACATCAACTGAAACTGTAACTGAAAACGAATTGACCACATCTCCCACATCTTTGTCCACCACCAGGCCACCAAAGGTGGTAACAAGTGGTCAAACAAGACTACCAACAACTACAGCCACGACCACTTTGGAAAAGTTAACAGCCACATCATCTGAAACGTCGACATCCCCTAGCACATCTCTCCCAGTGACACAAACTTCACTACCAGTCGTTACATCCACTCAACCAACAACGCTAACAAAGACAACTGCTGTGCCAGTCAGTACACTTGTGTCAACAACAGTTAGTGTTGAATCGTCCACTGCGTATGAGGTTAGCACTCAGGGTGTTTCTTCAACAACAAAACCAGTCAAAGCTGAAACAACTCTTTCAACCACCACACCAGCCATCCCATCCACCACTGTCCTTGTTGAGGAGGGAAGCACCACTGTCCAGCTACCTACAGAAACATCATCCCCAAGCAGTGTCTACACAACTTCAAAATCCTCTACAGCTACTCAAACAACTGGAGAAGTAACAACAACTGAGACTGTAACTGAGAATGATTTGACCACATCTGAGACACATTTGTCAACCACCAAGCCTCCGAAGGTGATAACAACTGGCCTACCAACAACTACAGCAACATCCACTTTAGAAGAGGAAACTCTACCATATTTCACCCATTCTTTGACTTCAGAATCCTCCCTATACTCAACCACTTCTATTATTTGTTGTCTCGTGAATGGCACACATTTTCAATCAGGTAAAAACACTTCTCATTTTATATATATATATATATATATATATATATATGTATGTATTAGTATTATTGAATATTTGAGAGACAGTATAAAATTGTGTAATTTGTGTCTTTTACAGGTGATATAATTTATAATGTTACTGATGGCTTTGGTTGGTGCTTTACTGCATACTGTAATGCAACTTGTGATATCGTGAAGATTTCAACATCTTGTGGAACCTCTCCATCACCATCCATTTCTCCTGAAACAACCACATATTCTAGCACATCAACAATAGGCACAAAACAACCCGTCACATTAATATCCACAACTAATACAAACACAGAAGTAACAACTACAAACTTTGGGCCTAAGTGTGATTCCCTTGATCCACCAAGACAGGTACATCCTACTTTAAATAACTTGGTTCTTGTTTCATATGTTCTATCATCAGTAGGCCCACCACCCTCCATTTCAGCAGAAAAACAAGAATATCAAAATTAATTTAGCATGTTTTCATTTGATAGGCATTTTTTATCCAAAGCAACTTACATTGCATTGGATAAGTAGTTTTGGATATCATATTCAATAATAACATTTCAGCAAGCTAAAACGGGTTGAACCTGACCAGTTTTAATTGATTTTGCAGCCCAATGATACATGGCAGAGTGGATGTCAAATGTGTCAGTGTGAGAGTGAAACACTGAGGGTCGTTTGCCAGCCTGTTACTTGTCCTGTTTCACCATCTGTTACTTGTGATAAGCCTGGACAAGTCCTTGTCAACAAAACAATTGACTGCTGTGAGATCTATGAATGCAGTAAGTGATCTGAACACAACACATATTGGGGACACAGGCATTTTAAAACAGATGCTTCCATAAGTCCATATAACAATTAATTTAATTAATATTTTTAGTTTTATATATTTCATCTATTTTTATATGTTTAATGTTAAACTGGTTTTCAGCTGATGAGCCTCTTTGACTTGTAAAAGTTAAGCAGCACATTTGTGGTCTAAACATTTATTGTAGAAATGTCTGTACATTTAAAATGAAATGCTAAACAAAAATGTTTTATATATATTTCTACAGGTTGCGATATAAATCTGTGCCCTATTCCCTCAATACAATGTCCACTGGGCTTTATACCATCCTTCAGTATCACTCCAGATAACTGCTGTCCAGAATTTGTTTGCTGTCAGTATAAAAAACAGTTCTCAATGAATGATAATTTACTGTTTTGGTATTATGCAATGCACAGGTGTGAACTCAATTCATTTCTTATTCTTTACAGCACCCATGGAAGTTTGTGTCCATAATACCACAGTGTATCAGGTATTTTTTTTTTTTTAGAATTTTAAAGGGTTAGTTCACCCAAAAATGAAAATTCTGTCAGTTTTTACTCACCCTCATGTTGTTCCAAACCTCTATGTGTTTATTTGTTCTGCTGAACGCACAGGAAGATATTTTTAAGAATGTTTTAATCAAACAGATCTCATTCCCCATTGACTTCCATAGTAGGAAAAAATACTATGGTAGTCAATGGGGAATGAGATCTGTTTGATTAAAACATTCTTCCAAATATCTTCCTTTGTGTTCAGCAGAACAAATAAACACATAGAGGTTTGGAACAACATGAGGGTGAGTAAAAACTGACAGAATTTTCATTTTTGGGTGAACTAACCCTTTAAGATTTTTGTGAATAAATAAATAGCTTTTAAAATATCTAAATAACTTACGGGCACACTTATTCCCTCTCACTCTTTTCCTCTCTAGCCTGGCTCACCTATCCCAAGTGATGATCCTTGTACACTTTGTCACTGTGGTTGGAATGTAGACCCTGAAACAAAACTTAATTCCCCAGAGTGTGTGATCGCTGATTGCTATCACACACTCTATAACTGTCCAGAGGTAAAGATGTCTATTTATGCATGTAATGAAGACTAGTTGGGTTATACATGTGGATAATAAACAAAGACAGCTTTAAAAGAACACAATGCCCAGTTAGATATACATTTCTCTTTTTTTCCCTATAGAATCAGGAGTACCAAGCTATTCCTGGTCAGTGCTGTGGAGAGTGCGTTAGCACTGATTGTGTGGTTATGCACGACAACACCACAGTTTCGATTTCAGTAAGTTCTTACATTCTTTTTAGCATTTTAACAGTTGTATTGTAAACACATCTCATTACATCAAATTAAATGACAGTCATTTCTCCACAAATAAACCTTTTAATATGTCTATAATCTATATTTTTCTTCACTAACAGGTTAACGAGATATGGCAACCAACTAATGACAAATGTGTGACATACATGTGTGAACGAATCGACGGTAACTCATTGGCAGTTGAGATTAAGACTGCTTGTCCTGCCTTTAATGCTGAAGATTGTATCCCTGTAAGTGGCTTTCACAGGACACTATTTTGATTGAACTATTGGTAATTAAGTCTATGTAATGATCAATGCTTTTTCATATTCTACAGGGAACAGAGACAATAGACGCAAATGGCTGCTGTAAAACATGTGAGTCACAGCTGAGACAATTTATTATGGAAAATAATTATGCATGAATTATTTAACAATGAGAATCAATTCTCACTCTTAGAAACATGTTTGCACCATTTGAATCATGATTTGTGATTTATAAAATTGACAGTTAATGCCACTCATATATACACATGATTGTTTTTGGGAGCAAACAAATATTTTGAGAGAGAAGAAAATAGTACTTTTTAAGATTTTCCAGGATATGCAAGATGTAGAAGTATATTTTGTAACACTTAGCTAATGTGTTTCTCATTTCTTTTAGGTACACTGGAGACCAAATGTAAGGTCCAGAAAAACAGCACCTACTTGGTCAGCAATGGCTGTATAAGCAGCACACCTGTGGAAATAACTTCTTGTGCAGGCTTGTGTGATACCTCATCAATGTGAGTATCAAAATCATTTCTAAAAACATAGTTTGGAAGCTTGTTTCTGCCACAGAATAAACATTTTGGAAAAGGCAATTCTGTCAATTCTGACTTTTCTTTTCTTGCTGTGGTGTTCATATCTGACATTTGACATTTTTGTGATTTTATACATTGCAGTTCTGAGAATTGCAAAAAAAGTTTGAATTGTAAGATAAAAAGTCGCAATTATATTTTAATTGTTTTAATCCATGGCAGTATAAGCTTCCATACTATGGAGACAAAATGATACTGTCTGTGTTGGTAATTAACAACAGAAACCATCTCTTCATTGTATGTTAAAACAGATATTCAATGGAAGCGAACTCTCTTGTGCATTCATGCTCGTGCTGTCAAGAAATGACAACCACCAAAAAGGAAGTGACTCTGACTTGCCCAGATGGGTCAAACATCAACCACTCATACATTCACATTGATTCTTGTGGCTGCAAGGCCAGCGATTGCCCTGGTCAATCTACTTCCTTAAAGAGACGTCGGAGGAGATTGTGAACCTGCTTTTTTTAACAACATTCAATAGAGCCATTTCAAATGTATCTCATGAATCTGTACTTTTTAAATGTTTGTGATAATTAACTGGTGTCATGAGAATGACAGCTCTTATATTTCTTGTCTAGTAACTCTTAATAAACTAATGCAAATTTAAGTTTTCTTGCACATTTTCATTTTTATGGAAAATCACAATGCTCTCAACATTCTGCATATAGAAATAAATCTGCAAATGGCATGGTGGAAAGATGCATTCACATTGTATTGATTTTGGATGCAAAATGATTATATTTGTGGGCAACCAATGACCATTGCTCATGATCTTATATATTTGAATTATAGGTTAGAGTGGTATGGCAAGTATAGCCTTTTAATTTACCTTTTGCAGATGATTTTATTCAAAGCAACGTACAATAAAAGAACAGCAATTTGTCACAGATCCAACATTTACAATTTATATATACACAATTTATAGTACACTCTTAGAAGAAAAGGTTCTATCAGTGCTACGTATTTGGAACCCCTAAAAGGTTCTATACAGAACCCCCTTTTAACGGTTCAATAATAAGAACCCTTCATTCATTATTATTTGTTTTGTCCTCTCCGGATTAAATATTTAATATTATTAGCAAACATCAAGACCCTAAAATGTATTAATAAATGCATGTGAATGATCACAAAATTCAAGATATGGGGGTTAGAAAATGTATAATTTATATCATTTTATGTAGATAATCAGTATCACACTTCAGTTTTTCTCCTCCAAAAATCAGCATGATTAAAACGTGATATTAAGTTACTACAACAGTTTAATAAACAATAATTTAATCACAACTACAAAATGTTGCAGAATAATGTGATATATGAATGAATAATAGCCAATAAAGAACCTTTGTGCCAAAAGGGTTCTTTCTTGTTATTATATAACCTTTTTTTAAGCATAAAAGGTTCTTTGGAGTTGAGTAAAGAACCCCATGTTTCATTTATAAACCCCAGAGTGTATGCAATGTCTATCCTTTTGTAGCCACAAAAACACTATCATAATTTGAAAGGTCCTGTAAATGTTTTGTGTGCTGTGTAATGACAGGCAATGTACTTCTTATATAATGTAAAGATATTTGCCATTTTACTCTTAGCGTAGCAGATGCTCTCAGAGACCTGTTCTTGTAATTGTGATAAAGTGGTTTGTGCACATACAAAAGACCCATCAAAATGACATACTCTGATATCTCTTTAATAATCTTCAAAATAAATTATATTCATATACATGTATGTAACTAAATTCTTACAGATAAAAGCATAATATCAAACATCTTTAAAACATGGGATCACTACAATACAGATATGGTATACTGCCCACAGTGGACATGCGACAAGATACTCTTTTGCAAAATTATCCTACATTCTCTATAACATTCCAGAAACAATCATTCTGAATGCTGATTTAGCAAAAAACAATTACAAGTTGTTAGATTTACTTGCTACTATTAAGGGTTGATAGACTTCAGTGTGAATTTTTACAAGGTATTTTTGGTATAAAGTTTTACATTGTTGGTACAGTTGAATATTTAAGCTGTGAGTGGCAGTTCTCCAGTTAAAGCTCCTCTGCCATCTGTAGCAAGGAGTTTATGGCTGCATCTTTGTTGCCCTGTTGGGCCTCCAGAACAGTGCGAATCACTTCCTTGTCCAGGTTGGGAAACATATCTTGAAGGGCTTTAAGGTCCTCTTCACTGCACATGGGGCTTTGTGGTGCGACAGGAGGCACAGCTGGCATTCCCATTGGTACCACACCTTGGTTGTACATACCAGGGACACCTAGGAAAATAATTGAAGGAAGTATTAAAATGTGCACAGGAAACCATTTTGGGGATTATGATTTGATGTGTGTTTAACCGACTATTCCGTGGTTTAGTCTGCTAGTCTCAGAGAGTCTATACCATATTTATATACTGTAAATAATTAGCATATTTAATCAAATAATTATTAAACAATTATTATTAAAACAATACTGAAATAGTTTTAAGAAGATCATAAATATATTATCATCGTTACACTTCCTTATTTTTGGCTATCTGAAAAAATGCTTAAATACTAAACCCTTTGATATTCTTTCAGTCTGTGAAGTTCTGGAAGCAGAAATGTGACGACTGTAAACTTTCATTTAACTTTGTGTCGACAAACGCAAAATAAAAAATATAGAATTAAGTAAAGGGGGGATTTTTTGGTAATGCTTCCTTTTACAGTACAGTACTTATGTGTACTTACAGCGTACTTACCTAGAAAGTACTGGCTAATTTAAGGTAAGTACATGGGCTAGGGGTAGGTTTAGGGTTAGTACCTAGTTATTACCCAGTAATTGTAATTAAGTAGTATATAGTATGTACATGGGACTGTGAAAGGAAGCGTTACCGAATTTTCAAAGTGTGGGGGTGGGACATGTCTCCCTGTCCCCCCGGGAACTGCAACCACTGCAAATAGAGATCATGATTCTCCCACAATTCTGAATAGACAACTAACCAAAATAACTTTTACTGTAGTCTATTCAGATATGTTTAATAATTAGGAATGACTCATTTATACTGGTTTCATTACTGGATGAATCAATTTTGAATGAATCTCTTTAATGAATGATTCAATGACAAATACATTTTTAACAGTCACTTGTCGCTACCTCGTGGTTTAACAATGTAATCGATGCAATCGTTATGTAAAGGGGGGGTTGATTGCGATTTCACTTTTTTCATTTTCAAATAGTGTGTAATGTTGCTGTTGGTGCATGAACAGTATCTGCAAAGTTGCAGCGCTGAAAGTTCAATGTAAGCAGAGATATCGTCTTTTAAAAATCATGAAGTATAATTGCCTACAAAAACGACTCGATTGGGACTACAGCTGGGTTTTAGACGTCACTAACCCAGGCATTTGCATCAACCCTCCCTCCAGAATATGCAAGAAAAGGCATGGTCATATTTCTGCGGCTCGTCGAAAGTGTGTTATGTTCACCCAGCTGTCAGGTCTTCTGTTCGGGCTTCCCATGGACGTTGTAGTTCGCCAACAATGGATACAATTAATTTATGTTTGATTATGTTCCCAAAAATGACATAGCTCTCTCTGCCGCACATTTTACAGAAGACAGCTTCCAGAATCTCCTCGAATTCAACAAGAAACTGTTACTAAAACATGAAGCAGTTCCAACTTTAAAACCAGAGGCAGCAGTTGTTGGGCCACAACCTGTAAGTAGGCTAAGACTTAATCATTTTAAATGTATTTGCATGTATAATTTCAGACCAAATGTTTTAGTTTTATCAAATGCCAGCGCTGGCTTTATAGCCACTTAGTTATGCTATTTCGTGTCTACGACAAATGAGTACAAACATTTTGGACCTGAATTTGTATATGTACTAATTTTATATTTTTCATGTATATATACACTTTATGACGTAATTTTTCGATTTGATCAAGAACGTTAACCAATGCCAACGCTGTTTGCATATAGACCATTTCACAAGATGTAAACAACACTGGTCCAGAAGCACTTCCTGTTTCAGTTTGTAACTGTTTTCTTTATTTCACATGTAAAGAAAACATCTTAAAGATGTTTGTTTAATTTTTTGATTCAGTTTTAAATGTTCTGTTGGTTGTATTTTATCCCAGCTTTTATGTAGTGTTAAAAAACTGAAACAGGAAGTGCTTCTGGACCAGTGTTGTTTACATCTTGTGAAATGGTCTATATAGTAGCCATATTAGTTCGATGCTATTGTGTAAAGCAAACGTGTATAAAGTAAAAAAAAATATAGGCAAATTACCATTCAGAAACGTTTTGTAAGAGCCGTCTTTAGCGAGGTTCTGCTTGACTCTCTTCTGCTTTCTGGGTCTGATTCTAGCTCATACTGATACTGCAGTATCGACACCATTATGTACATTTGACAGGAACACAACACACACATGCAACTTTGCCCATAAAGGTAATGGGGGTTAAGTATCCGGCTAACGTGCACTACTCAGTTTAGCCAATCACAACACACCGGCCCAAACTAACCAATCTGACCCCACTGCCCGTTTCTGAGGGAGTGGTTTCATAGACTCAGGAAGTCAACCGGTCTTTTAAATGACAGAGAAAAATACGGCTTAAAATAAAGGTGAAATTTAGGAAAAATAAGACTTTTTAAAAAAGAAAAAAGAAAAACACATGTTACATTGCACCCCATAAACACAATCATGCAAAGAAAAAAAATCATGATTTGCTCTATTTAAATTACTACGTAGATATCAGTGTTTCTAACTGAACTTTAAAGTTTTATCCCAGTACTTCTGTGATAATTAGAATATTTGCAACTTTACTGTAAGGTTGAAAAGACAGTTTGTCTTTGTTGTTTCATACCGAAAAACGACCTATCTCTGGCTTAGCGGCAATGCAAACACATTTGAATGTTCCAGTGTGATCGGAAAGGTCTAATAGACATAGCCGAATCATTGACATTCAGGAATAAGATCACATGGGTACTGAAATTGAAATTGTGATCTTTTAACAAATTTAAGCACAATCAGCCAATGTTCAATTCCAGTTTTAAAATGAATATTGCCTGATCACTTGGTGGATCTCTAGTTATGATGATTGATTGCGAAACAAACCTGCTATGGGCACATATCCAATGCCTTGCTGATAAACTGTAGGCATCAGAACCACAGGTTGCGGCTGCATCATCATTCCCGCTGGTATTGACTTGGATAAGTAGAAAAGAAAAGAAAAGAAAAAAAAAAGATTCAGCAAAAGTTGACAAGCTCTTTCCCTGAGAGAGCTACTGTTCTTAGAATTTTTCCTCTATTTATAGCGCATGAGAATTTTAAAGCATGTCCTGACCAGGAAATTTGTAAAGGTTACAAGTAATTTGAGCAAAAATGCTAAATAACACATTTGCAAACAAGAGAACATATACCAATCGCAATCAAATTGGTTTACAACTTAACAGCTTTTATCTTGATTTTTTGCAATTACACCTGGTTATGCCATAATTGTCAGTATTTTTTAGGACTTACTGCAAAAGACATGACAAGATTAATCATGCCCTCTTTGTCATCACCCTGTCTTCCGCTCAAACTGTACCACTCATCCACTACAGTGCCCTCGCGCAGACCCTCTGGGATAGTCACGTGTGTCCAT